TCAAACTCCATTACCAGCAGGTTTTAATTCTAAAGGTATTCACAGAAATGAAATTTTGCAAATGGATGTATTTCACTTCCCAGAATTTGGAATTTTAAAATATGTACACCATACCATAGACATGTTCTCAGGTTCCCATGGACTAATCCCCTCAGCTCTGAAAAAGCTGATTCTGTTATTACACACCTCTTAGAGGTGATGGCTGTTATGGGTATACCTAAAGCAATAATAACGGACAACTCTCCAGCATATGTCTCCAGTAAATTGGAACACTTTTTCAAATATTATAATATAAAACATGTAACTGGTATACCTTACAATCCCACAGGATAAGCAGTGGTTGACAGATCTAACCGAACCTTAAAAGAGATGCTTCATAAACAGCCAGGGGGAACAAAGACCCCCAAACACAGGTTTCATAATGCTTTACTAAAGTTGAATTTTCTTAACGCTGATGAAAAAGGACAAACTGCAGCAGAAAGACACTGGACTACAGAGAAGACTTCTGAACTGAACCCACTGGTGTATTTTAAGGATGTTATGACCCCAGTCTGGGAACCAGGATATGTGTTATGTTGGGAAAGGGGTTTTGCTTTTGTTTCCACAGGAGAAGAAAACTTTGGGTTCCATCGAAATTAATTAAGATACAATTAGAATAGAAGACATCTCAGGAGGAGGAAAGTTAACAGCTTATCTATAAAATCATATTCTACCATGGGTAACATGACCTCATAAAAGGAAAGAGAAGTGTTTTGTTTTTTGTCTTCACAGGTAAACTCAGCAGAGAATACTGGACATATAGATTCCTGAAGAAGAATGAATAGCTACCCTGAGGACCATCAAACAAACAGTAACTTACTGTGTTGTATCAAAGTCTAAATCTCTCTATATTGTTTTTTATAATACCCTTTTATCTATGTTTCTTCATATACTTTAGTCCCCATTCATTTAGCTGAAGATGGCTTTGGAGTTGGATTGGCTCTCCTACTCTAAATTCAACCATATTATTTAAATAAAATTCAGAATTTCTGTATTATATCAAAGAATTGATATAAGACAGAAGAAAATAAAATTAGGGACTGTTATCTGTGGATTTCTTTTTCTGAAAAGTCTAATTTCCTTCATGTTTACCATCTTCCCTATTGTTACCTCTTCCAGTATGCATACATATAAAATTTAAAATATTTCTTTGTTAACATTAATGTTTGAGTTTTCCAGAGAACAAGGGATTTCCTGACAGCAATCTTCAATGGCTTCAGAAAGAGAATGAGGATCTACTTCCTTTACTCCACCTGATTTGACTGGATGCATCTGAACTGCCCCATATCATCGACTCCACCTGACAAGCACTATATTGGCTTGAAACTACATCACTCGACACAACTCCGGACCAAGGAACTGAAACAGCGTACCTTCTACAATCTGGCCAGAGCTTCAGTCGAGAGCTTCAATCAACACTAGAACTCCAGTCAGGAACTTCAATCAAGCATCTCCTGCCAAACAGAGACTGACTGATCTACTGAAGATTTTGTTACACTAACATTTTTCTTCTCACAGGTCCCCATGAGATTGTCATCGTCCCATCTCAGCAGGAAGTAGTTTTGAGAATTCCACGCCCTCTCTCCCTACTATTTATATTATAGGATAGTTTACACCTGTTAATGTTAGTTTTCAATTATTTTAGAGTTGGGATTGGAAAGATGTGTTCAGACTTGGGTGTTTCTTTCAGATAAGTTTAGTTTTAGATGGGATAGATGTTTGATACATTTTGTTCATTGACACAAGTTAGTTGTTTTAATGTTTAAATATCCTTTTTAGACTAAAAGGGGAATTGTAGGAGGAAACAGTGCTCCGCCATTAACCATGTGACATATTAGAGGTGCATACAGATGAGGTAATAAAAGGGCAGTTTACCACACCGCTAACCACACCCCCTTTAGGCATGACTAAAGACATATACGGACATAGGCTGTGAACTATGTCACTAGCCAGGCCCACTTTTGGGCATGGCTAGGGGCTTTACGGAGGAGGGTATAAAAGACTGAACAGCAGAAGTCTCGTTCTCTTTTCTGCCTTTCCGGCTTCCAGTTCCGTGGTGGAAAACTACTCTGCTCATCTGGGTTACTTGTTTGTCTCTTGTGGGTAATTTCTACAATAATACTTACTTTTACTTTCAGTAAGTGTGCTGTTCATCATTGCAGCATCATGTCAATCTCTTTTTTTCTTTGTCTCTTGAATTCTGTCTCTCTACAGTTTTGGAAGATATAGGTATATATGTATGTTTGCAACAGTAATTCTTTTTACAATACAATGTGAGGCTTGAGTTTCTCCGGGTCAGCAAGGCAGATTAGATTGACACACACAGCAATAAACTAAAACTGCTAGGAGAAATTTTGAGCATCCATTATTTAGGGCTGTGGGTCAAAGAGAGGGTCTAAGTTTAATTTGCACAAGAAACAAAACCTGGCGCCTTCCAGTGCTCTGGCCACAGTGGCAGCACAGACCTTCAGGAAATTTTACTTTTCCCTGCAAATGAGAAAATGGGCTGATTACCTTTGTCTTTATTTTCTCAGGGGAAACAGGAGGAAGCAGTAAATATCTGAGCTAAAATCTTGAGTTAATAAAACCAGAAGTTTGAGAATCTTTTACTGCAGAGTTAGTTTAGGCTAACACTTCTCTATATGTCAGTGAGTTAAAACCAGGCCATGCTTACTTTTTTCTATCCATTTAGGCAGCTATGAATCAGCAACTTTGGGTGTGTACTATTTCCTTGTCCTTGTATATCTGTGTTTGCCTTAGAGGGAATGCTTTTGCCTAGGCCCTAAACACTGATCAAATGTCTGTCAATAAAGATAATTGCAGGAAGGCAGATCTCTGCAATTACAATGGAGAAGGAAATGTGGTCTTGATAATGGGAAACAGGTCTCACACATAGCTAAGGAACATAATAAGTAAACTAGGACCTATTGATGGAGAACGGGTATTAACTTATATCAAGGGAGTGTAATCAGTAAAACCCCAAATGCATGAGAGAAATTTGTTTCCAGTAAATGATTAGATAGTGCTAAACTGTGGGAAGTAAAACCCAAGTTTGTTACATGAAGAATCTACAGCAAGACACAGCCAATTAATTCGAGAGATTATTACCCCATGTACAGCTTTGTATTGGTTTCATCCTTTAGGAAAATTCTTAATTCTTCTGAATTATCTCATGATATGAAGGCTGTATAATTACTGTGCTATCTTGTGGCTTGCAGCAAGAGCCTCGTTCTTCTGGACCTCATTTCAATGACACAGGTAGACTGTGAGATATGTGGAGTCTTATCTTTCCAATGTACTAGTGCAGTCAAACTTTGAAACATTTTTCATATGCAGTTACATTCTACATTAAAATACAGGCTTTCAATGACATGCTTCTTTTGTAAGATTAAAAGTCTATGGCAAATATTCATTAATTTTAGCTATGAGGTGTGGGTGAATATTTTTTGCTTATGTGTGTTAAAGACTTGGTTGTATTATTATTTTTACTTTTCTTGAACAAAAAGTCAATAGCTATTCAATAAGCATACATCCATGCTTTCTCCATTAGAAATTATAGCTGAATATTGTTTTCATTATTATAATTGGTTTCTGGGAAAGTCTATTTCTCTTCAGCATTATGAAGTAAATAGCTAACAATATACTACTTTCAAGCTTTTCTCCATTGCCAGATATCTGAAACTGTACTGATTCTGTGTTTATCTATAGAGTTTTAACATTGCTTACATGCTGAGTTTTTCAATGTAAGTTCCTCAGTTAGAGGCTAAATTCTAACGTATATTTTATAAGGTATATAATATGTTAAATTTCATTTCATAGTTTCTACTTACAGAAAAAATCCCAAATCCTTGTACTAGAAACACTAAACAAACTTATGTGAGAATATTCCATATTGTTTGATGATCCTTTTGCTAAAGATATTTCAACATTTTTCAAAATTATCGTGTGTGTATGTGTGTGTGTGAGCGCGCATGTGTGAGACAGTGTGCATGCTCAAATTTCCCCAAATATCAAAGTGATCACCTTTCAACTTAGAGGCAAATGACATGCATACATTCATTTTCATTTCATAAAAAACAATTTTCATACTTAGTATTTGCTTCTTGTATTAAGAATGGCATGTGAGATATGTAATGACAAAAATATTCTTTGTATTGATTTTGTTATTGTTACATTCATCCAAGAACTTACTGTGCCCACTCTTTTCTCAGTCATTAATACTCTTGCCATGTGATGAACACAATAATATGATTAGCTTAATATTCTATAGAAATGCCACTAAAATGGTATAATTGCAAAACCCCACTCTTCAAAATCCCATTTTCTTCTTCTCTTTCTTTAGTTCTTATTTATTTTGATTGTTTACCTATATAGTTTTCAGATGATAACTTTTGATATTCAAGCTTACTAAGTACAAAGTCAGATGACTTTAGTGAGCAGAAAGTATTATTCTACTAATTCCACATTAGTACATTTGTCTTCCAGAAATCTCCTCCAAATACTTATATATTCTAATTCTACTTTTAAATACCTTAGAAAAGAACTCTTCATGGTTTTTTTTTTTTTTTGGTGTGTGTGCTGTCACTCACTTTCATCCTAGCACTTACATATTGCTATATTTTAAAATTATAATATGAGAAACAATTTAAATATAATCTATATGATTTTTAAGGTTTATCTTACACTGTTCCAAGGAATATCTCTCAGCAAGACTGAACTTCAAAATTTAAGTAAATTTTGATTCTATTTTCCCATTAAAACTGAAAAAACGTCCTACTTATCAATTGAAAGTACTGTATCATTCTGTATACTATTATATTTTATAATTAAAAGCAATTGCAAAATTAAAACACATTTCTATAACAATTATTTAAATCACTGGCCCAAGAAAGACCCAGATGGACATCCTAGAAATAGGATAATGAAGGAAAAGGACAATACTAGTGAGACTTCATGCTTACCTTAATGGCAGTGGATGCAATTTGGATATGGTGAAGTCTGCGAAGAGTGCTGTCCCTGTCAATAAAATAGGAAGCAGCCAACTGATGAAGGGTCTCTAGGGTGACAGACGAGCTGTTGCTGCTTGTATCACTTCCCTCAGATCTTTTGCTCAGCTTCCGCTTGTCGACGAAAATTGTGAGTGACTCCTCTCCTGTATTAATGATATAAAAAGATTGTATTTCCCAGTGAAAGTAAGTTTTATACTTATCTCCAAGAATTAATACCTACAAAATACTGTGAAGTCGTGATCCTCCTGCCTCTGACTCCTTCAGCAAACCCTACCAGTGTGACTACCACCATTACAGGCTTGGTGGTGCATGCCTTTAATTCCAAAACTTGGGAGACAGTGGCAGGAGGATCTCTGTGAGTTTGAGACCAGCCTGGTCTAAAAGAGCTATTTCCAGGAAAGCCTCCAAAGCCACAGAGAAACCCTGTCTCAAAAAACAAAAACAATAACAACAACGACAAAAAAATAAAAAAGCAACAAAAAGAAAATTACTGTAAAGGAAAAACTAGTTAAAACCACAAAATTTAATAAAGTTTAAATTTTTTTATACTTTTCTTTCCAATGTATCTAGAAGAACTAAAGATCTTTAAGGCTTTGGATGCATATTTAGTGAATTTTCAATATGGAGATATTAAAGGATGATTTTTATTAAACTAATTATTTTGTCATGTAGTTTAGCCTAGTGAATGCTTGACATCCACAATATCTGATAAAATATTAACTGAAGTGTTGTAGCACTGTATTCTACCATAAATTTTATCAGGGGACAGTGTATCAAGAAAAAAGCAAGGAACTTTTAAAATGCACAGAATACCTATTTGAAGCATATTAGCAACACATTCAGAAGTGAACTTCTAAGCATTTATTAAATAACTAAACTCAATGGAAGTCATAGAAACTGATAATGATGATGGCCAGTGAGACAAGACTTAACAGTGAGCTACAGGGAGGTTTTGATTCTCAAAGGTCAAATGGTAATGAAAACCACACATACTGTCTATGTTGGAGTTGGAGAATTTGTTCTTCTCAGACTTTAACAACATTGCATATTCATCTAATGAACAATTGCCAAATATGCTGTATGTTCTCTCTTAGGAACATATGTGTTGTGGTGGCATTGCTCACATATAAAATCTGAAAGTGTGTCCTTAAGATAGGTCAAATAAGATCTTCCACAGACAAGTATATATCTCCTGCCAATCAGAAAGATGATAAATTTTCTATAATACCATAGCTCATGTGATCATCCAATGAAATGAGCCCATAGAGCTCTTTAAGACAGTAAATTCACATTGTAATTTTTTAAATTTTAGTATAAAAATGACATTTCTCCCCTTTCTTTTCCTCCTGCAAAATATAAGGGAAATATTTACTATTTAATATTTTTCTATATTAAATGATGTAGGAAACACTGTAATTTTTCTACAATATTTTCTGTACTTAAGTGTGCAAGCTATATGAATCTAATACAAAACTGTAGAGAGAAGCCTTTTCCTTTCCAGCTGCTTTGGTTTTTCCCCACCAGTCGCCTGGGCTCTGCCAAGCTGTAGTCCCCAAATAACACACAAGACGCTGTATTCATTATGTAGCTGTTGGCTGTTTGATTGTTTCTTACTGGATATCTTTGACTTAAGTATTTAACCCATCTAAGTATTTCTCTTACTGGACGGACATCTTACTTCTCTGGCGGGCTACATGATGACTCCCTGTGTTTCTCCTACCCAGAGTCCTCCTGGACTCCTAGTCCCACCTATCTTGCTTCCCTATTGGCCAACAGTGCTTTATTAACATATACACAGGACTTCCTCATCGCAAAACCAGTGACAAAATGAAGCATATATGAAATAAAAAAATAACTACGAAATGAATACTTTTCAATGGGTTCTAAGATATAAAAAAAAACATAAATAAATCTCAAATCAGATTCCTTGAGAAAACAGGTAGAAAATACATTAACAACTGTCAACTCCCATTTTCTTTCAAGCGACAATTTCATGGACAATTGACATAGTAAATATAAAATAAATCAAATTGGATACCATAAAATAATTATTTTTATTTTGTTTAAATAAATGTTTTGGTTTCTAGGTAATATAATACTTTAAACACAACATTTACTGAGCTAACATAAATGATTTCATAGGGAAATTCTGTAAAAATTTCCAAAGACTATGAAAGAAAAAATGTTTACATAATTTCACATAAAATTGGCATAGATATTTGAAAACATATACACACAACAATTATTTATTAGTCTAAATCAAAGATAAGAAATATGATGGTAATAAATAGTATCTACCAGTAAAATTGATATACTTCTTAATCCTGACCAAATGTGATCATTTTAATAGTGTAAAGCTTTTTAAGATTTGGAAATCAAGAAAATATTTAACATATGATGTTGTGGAATATTTCTTTACACTGTGTGAATATATATCACTGTGATTAGTTTAATAAAAATATAAACAGGCCCAAGCCCTAAGCTTCTTTCTCTGTCTTGCCTTCCAGCTCCCAAAAGCCACATTAATTGTGAGCTCAGCTGATAGCAGCACAGGCAGTATAAGTAAAGGCAATAAATCCACATAATAGAAGCAGGAAATTCATTGCCAAAATCTTTTTATGAGGCTGTGATTACCTTGGTACCCAAACCCCACAAAGACTTCATTCTAGGGATGCAGGGATGGTTCAAAACATGAAAATCTATCAGTGTAATTCACCATATAAACAAACTGCAAAGGAAAACCACATTATCATTTCACTCAATGTTGAAAAAACCTTTGGCAAAATTCAACACCCCTTACTGATAAAGGTCTTGGAAAGATCAGGATAACAGGAACATACCTAAACATAATACAGGCAATAAACAGCAAACCAACAGCAAGCATCAAAATAAATGGAGAGAAATTCAATGAGATTCCGCAAAAATCAGGAACAAGACAAGGTTAGCCACTCTTTCCATATCTCATCAATATTGTACTTTAAGTTCTTGCTAGAGCAGTAAGACAACAAAAGGAGATCCAGGGAATTCACATTGGAAAGGAAGAAATAAAACTTTCACTATTTGCACATGATGAGATAGTTTACATAAGTGACCTGAAGAATTCTACCAGGAAAATCCTACAGCTAAAAAACACCTTCAGCAAAGTGGCAGGATACAAAATTAACCCAAAAACAAAACAAAACAACAACAACAACAAAAATCAATAGCCCTACTATATATAGACAATAAAGGGCTGAGAAAGAAATCAGAGAAACATCACCATTTACAAAAGCCACTAACTACATAAGGTATCTTGGGTAACTCTAACCAAAGAGGAGAAAAACCTGTATGGCAAGAACATTGAGTCATTAAAGAAAGAAATTAAAGAATATACCAGAAAATGGAACAATCTCCCATGCTCTTGGACAGGTAGGATCAATATAGAGTAATAATAGCAATCTTACCAAAAGCAACGTACAGATTCAAGTCATGCCCTATTAAAATCCCAGAAGAATTCTTCACAGAACTTAAAAGGACAATCAATAGTCAACTTTATGTGGAAAAACTATATTAATGAATACAGCATGGCATTGACACAAAAACAGACAGTTAGACCAATGGAATTGAATTGAAGACCCTGATATTAACCCACACACCTATGAACACCTGATCTTCGACAAAGAAGCTAAAACAATGCAATGTAAAAAATAAAGCATCTTCAACAAATGTGCTGGCATAGCAGGAGGCTAGCATATAGAAGACTGCAGATAGATCCATATCTATTGCCATGCACACAATTAAGTCAAATGGATCAAAGGCCTCAACATAAATCCAGCCACACTGAACCTCTTAGTTCAGAAAGTGGGAGGCACCCTTGAATGAAATGGCATAGGAAACCACTTCCTGAACATAACACCAGTAGCACAGACACTGAGATCAACAATTAATACATGGGATCTCCTAAAACTGAGAAGCTTCTACAGGCAAAAGACACAGAATGGGAAAAGATCTTCACCAACCCAACATCAGACAAAGGGTTGATTTCAAAAATATACAAAGAGCTCAAGATACTAGTCACTAAAACACCAAATAATTCAATTCAAAAGTGGGGTACAGAACTACACAAAGAATTCTCAATAGAGGAATATAAAATGGCTTAACGACATTTAAGAAATTGCTCAATTTTAGCCATCAGGGAAATACAAATCAAAACAACTCTGAGATATCATCTTATACCTGTTAGAATGGCTAAAATCAAAAACATCAATGGCAATTTATGCTGGAGAGGATGTGGACAAAGGGGGAAACTTCTCCATTGCTGGTGGTAGTGCAAACCTGTACAGCCACTTTGGAAATCAGTATGGCAGATTCTCCAGAAAATGGAAACTAGTTTCCCTCAACATCCAGATATTCCCCTCTTAGGCATATACCTAAAGGATACACATTCATACAACAAGGACATCTGTTCAACTGTGTTCATAGCAGCATTATTTGTAATAGCCAGAAGCTGGAAGCAAAGGAGATGCCCATCAACTGAAGAATAGATACAGAAAATGTGGGACATGTACCCAATGGAGTACTACACAGTTGAAAAAACAGTGGAATCTTGAAATTTGCAAGTAAATGGATGGAACTAGAAGAAACCATTCTAAGTGAGGTAACCCAGTGACAAAAAGAGAAACATGGCATGTACTCATATATGGATATTAGATATAGAGAAAAGGAATACCAGCTTACAATCCAGACCTTCAGAGAAGCTAGCGCACAAAGAGGGCCATAGGAGAGACATATAGGGTCCCCTAGTGAAGCAGAAAGAGCCATGAGCCCCTGAACATTTTGGGAGCATGGGGGGAGAGAGGTAGCAGAAAGAGGATGGGAGGAGAAGAATGGGAAGGAGAACATGGAGGAACAGGAAGATTGAGTGGGGAGAGGAATAGAGAAGAACAAGAAAACAGACACATCACTAGAGAGAGCCACTATAGGTTTAAAGAGAAATTTGGCACTAGGCAATTGTATAGAGATCCACAAGTGTGACCCCAGCTGGGAATCTAAGCAATGGTGAAGAGGATACCTTAAATGTCCTTCTCCTATAATGAGAATGATAACTACCTTAAATGCCACCCTAGAGTCTTTATTCAGTAGCTGATGGAAGCAGAAGCAAAGA